CCTTGCTAGGTGTCGAGATATTTCACCCATTGTAGCAGGAGAGAAGGCAAAGATGTGGAAGGTGCATGGCTGGGGCTATGAGAGGACTCCTGCCAAATGATTTACAGTTTCTCAATTTTCTCCAGTTCTTGAGCTGAGTCAGGCTAGGAGATTTGAGAAGATTGAGGGAGAAGCAGCAATGTGAAATAACAATCATACAGAGAAATGGAGTAGTATTATCAGTCTCCTGAATATCCTTTTGAAATTTTTGTCATACATTTAAATTAAAACCAGTACACAATTTTTAGCTGCTCAGCACAGGGTGAAATATTATTTAACCCCAGTTTAATAATTTAACCACAGTGTGGGTTTTGTCAGAAAAGTTTAATGAATGGAGAAAGGTGCAATGTTTTCCAGGGAGTGATTATAATCACGGGCTACATAATGTAAGCTGGGCAAGGAAAGAAGAGAGAATGTGGAAAGGGGGAATGGATTGCATAAATGATTGAAATTTTCTTTTATATTCTATTTTTGAATGCCATGAAAATCGCTAAATGAAAAGTGAAAGATGGTATCAGGTATGTAATTTTTATATGGTACTTCATCCTTATAAACATCTTTATAAACATCCTTATAAACATCCTTATAAACATCCTATATAAACTGAGAGTTAGAAAATGAGAAAGGTATTTTCAATCTGATATTTCCCTGACTTTTGAATCTGGATGGGTTACTTCAAGAATTATGAAGGGCCTGGCAGCACCCGTAGCTCAGTGGGTAGGGCGTCAGCCATGTACACTGAGGCTGTTGGGTTTGAACCCTATCCAGGCCAGCTAAAACAACAATGACAACTGCAACAAAAAAATAGCCAGGTGGGGCGGTGCCTGTGTTCTAAGGTGCTGGCCCTATATACTGAGGGTGGTGGGTTCAAACCCAGCCCTGGCCAAACTGCAACAAAAAAATAGCCACATGTTATGGTGGGCGCCTGTACAGGTAGTCCCAGCTACACAGGAGGCTGAGGCAAGAGAATCGCCTAAGCTCAGGAGTTGGAGGTTGCTGTGAGCTGTGTGACACCACTGCATGATAAAGTGAGAGTCTGTCTCTCTAAAAAAAAAAAAAAAAATAGCCAGAAGTTGTGGCGGGCACCTGTAATCCCAGGTATTTGGGAGGCTGAGGCAGGAGAATCACTTAAGTCTAAGAGTTTGAGCTTGCTGTGAGCTGTGACACCACTGCACTCTACTCAGGGTGACAGCTTAAGAGTCCGTCTCAAAAAAAAAAAAAAGAATTATAAAGGGCCTGAGATTTTTTTTTTTTGGTAAATTATTTCAGATTAATATATGGGTACATGTGATTGGGTTGTATGTTTGCATTTCTTAGGTGAAGTTCAAGTTGTTGAGCCCTTCACTCAGGAGATGTGCCGTATACCCTTATATTGTCTGTTTTAGGTGAGAGCTTACCAATCTCCATCCCTTCTTCCCTTTCCCTCCACTCCCCTCTTCCCCATTTGAAATCAATTGTGTTTTTCTCTCATGTGGGTGTGAGTTGCTTATCTATTGGTTTCATATTAGTACTGAGTATATTGGATACTTGCTTTTCCATTCTTGTGATGCTTTACTACAAATGTATTTCAACTCCATCCAGATAAATACAAAGGATATTAAGTCTCCATATTTTTAATGGCTGAATAGTATTCCATGGTATACATATACCACAGTTTGTCAATCTATTCATGTGTTGATGGGCACTTGGGTTGATTTCTATTTCTTGGTGATTGTGAATCAAGCTGCAATAATAAGCTAATTAGTTGGTCTGTTAATATTTTGTGGGTGTAGGCAGAAGACATGAGATTCTGGGTTCAGAGACAAAGAACTGTTACTTAGTAACACAGAAAGCAGCATACAGAGGTCCTACAGAGATGACAAGACAGGCCTAGATGAATGCTGCAGACATAGGGGATTTGTATCACAACTGGGGACCCAGACCCCAGAATATGTTGAGCAAGTAGCAAGTACTGCAACAGTAAATAAGCCAGGCTCCCTCAGTCCAGAGAGTGAGCAGTTACAATGAAGTCATGCTGTGGTCACTTTGACCTACTTAGCTCTTCAAAGGCCTAATGACAAAAATTGTTGTCAATCAGGAGACAGACAAATCCTGTAGCCTGGCACGCACAGTAAGAATGTTCAAGACCACTCGGGGTTCAAAGTGAGCTACCTGTCTCAATAGTCATATTACTTTCAAATATAAATAATAAATATAATAGTTCTCATTTTAATAATGTACTCTAAACCACAAAATATATTCCTATATGTACACTTTTTCAACATATATTTTCAAAAATACCACTATAATATGCCAGTAAAAATTTCCAAGGTTATTTCCTAAATGTGTAATAAGAAATATAAATTAAAATGATGGTATACATAAAAATATTCTAGTTTCTTTCAATTTTTATTAAAAGTATTCATCATTGCCTAAAGATGTTTGAGTATAGAGTAGACTATATTCTGATCAATTTTCATATTTCTTTTTCTAGATTTTTTCTAAAACAAAAATAATATAAAAAGACTGAATGCAGATAAGCAGCTAGGTTGCATTAAAACCGGGAAGAATTAATAGGAATGAGCTTCCTTTCTTAATCAAAAAGCTTTCAGTCCTGTTAGGAGCATATGAAAACCCTTACCATCAAAAGGGGCATGAAATCTCCATTGTTCCTGAAGGACACTTCACTTTGACACTCCAAAGGAAAAAATAAACATGACTACATTTTTCTAAGTTTCCTCTGTCCTTGGTTCCCAGAGGGCTGACTACTGATGAACCAGGTTAGTGGCTTACCCTTGCAGCAATCATGTTTGCTTAAAGCCTAGGCACCAAAGGGAGTAGGGAAGGCGGTCTTTAATTCAGCTGTCTTTATTTATCTCTTGCTCTATTGCAATCTCATCAGCTTCTCTGTGTTCCTAGAACCAGCCAGAAACACTCCCCTGTCGGGCCTTGCCTTGGCCAGTCCTTTTGCAGGAAGCTTGCTGCATCCTGAGAGCTCCTCAGAGCTCACTCCCTCTCTGCCTTTTGTCACATGCTTTTCAACGCAGCCTACCCTGACCACCCTGCTGAAAATTCAGCCCTACCTCCTACTCCCTCTCAGGCACTCATTATCATTACTCTGCTGTATTTTTCCATATAACATATCTTTGAATATTCCATATTATTTATTTTATTTAGAATGTGGTCAGTACACTTCTCTTCCATGCTGTACCCACAGTGCCTGAGAGTCTAGACAAAGCTCTCAGTCTGTATTCACTGAGTGAATGAAAGAGTGATCAGACATAGTCCCACTAAAGGGCAATTATTGAATGTTACAACTGGGATGCCTTGGTTAATTGTGGGATTGTTTCACACAATAGATTTCAAATGTTTTGAAAGTAGAGCCTGGATGCCCTATTATCTTTTCCTCTCCATGCTGGCCCTTTTAATGTTTCTAAAGTCCTGTAGTCTCGAACTTCAACTTAGACTATGCCAAATAATCCAGAAAGAGCCACAGGTGGATGAGTCCTGTGTTTTTGTTCAGAAGCATAAAAGTGAAATCTTTTAGAAAGGATGGAAAGGATTGTTTGGTACTAAGACAGGTGAAAATGGGAAAACAATAGGACCTGACTGCATTATAAGCCCGGGACAAACAATCGTCTGGCCCTAATTAAAATATCTGTGATCATGGAGATGTTCTGAATCTGTACTGTTCAATATGGTAGCCACTGACCATATGTGACGAATAATACTTGAAATGGGACTTGAGTGGCAGAAAAACTGATTTTTTAATTTATTTAATTTTAGTTCATTTTGATTTAAATAGCTCATGTGGCTAGTGGCTACCATATTGGAGAATACAGACACAGACTGCGTTGTAAGTTAGAGTGGGGAACATTTTTGTGTTTCAAAGTGATCCAGCTGAAGTCACTACACTCCCTCAGCCTGACAATGTTTCTGTCCCTAGTCAGGAAAAAGTTTCAAAAAATACAGATTCAAAGACCTATTTTAGGCAGACATTATTTGGAGGTATCTCAATTTATAGGTGAGGTCTGAAATTTGGCACACGATATTGTATTTACTAATCTTGTTCACCTTCTTTTTAAAGGCAAAAAGGTCCTCAAAAATTGTTTTACTTCCAGAATATAAAGTATAATCCTTTAAATCCACACACCCACTCTTCTTCTTTTTTTTTTTTTTTTGCAGTTTTTGGCCGAGGATAGGTTTGAACTCACCACCTTCAGCATATGAGGCTGGCACCCTACTCCTTGAGCCACATGCACTACCCCCCATCCACCCTTCTTATTGTGTATTAATGTTAACTCATAAAATTGCAGAACAGTCCAACGTTTATATAAGTGAAAATCTGCTGAAACAAGAAAAATAAAAATAATTATAACCAGGCTTAGAACATGTGACTGGGCAGGGGAGCAGAGGTGGACATTTGGCAAACTGCCAGCAGGATGTATCTAACCTGGTAAGTGCTTTAACCTCTAATGGAAAGCTCCTCCAACTTTTAGAAGTTGTCCTTCAGAGGAGGCTAACTTGATACGTGCTGGTCTGTCTTCCCAGTTAAGACAGATCCCAGAGTAGACCAATGAATGTTGACGCCTAGAGAATGGAGCACTGATGTAATGGTTAGGAAAGACGGGCTCCGCCCATGCGCTCCTCCTCTGCAATGTCACATTGGCAGGTACTCTGTGTGTGTATAGACAGCAATAGATACTAAATTGGTCGGCCACCTGGAATATGTTAAATGACACTAGTAAAGTTGTTCCGATTACTAAAATTGATTGCATTCCATTATGTTTTAATGCCTTCCTAATTTAAAGCTCTAGAACGTGTACTATTAGGTAATATATCTTGTCAGACGGTCCTGACACACAGACCCCGGCTGTACGTGGAGCAATGTCACACATTCATCAACCACTCAACTTAGCAAATCGTCATTTCACACCTCACACAATTTCTAAAAATTTCAAACAGAACACACATTTCACCTCTGTAACTTAAAAATGTTTATGATAATTGTAATTAAATGTGTGCCATTTTCTGGAATAAGCAATATTGAATGTACAGGCAATTTTCAATTTTCTGTGCCCCTGAAAGAGGCAGAGCCTCAGATTAGCTAAAACAGAGTTTTAAAGCTGTTAAGTATCTTGGCTAAGGGTGCTTGGAATTAAAAGTGGGCATTTAAAGTACAGGTGATGGAAAGTTGACCATCTAAAATGAGCTTAGAGACCCCTCATCAGTAGCATTCTCTATGAACTGTATACAGGAGGCTGCTGTTTCTTCAATGGATTTTGACCAGCCGCCAAGATTTCCGGCAAAGTAAGGCAGAATGCTAGCAGAAACCTGGTTAAAGTAAGATACCTGTGTACAAAAGAAAATACAGTATTTTAATTTCTTACCGACTTGGAGCTTTTTCAATCAGGGATCTGAATCTTGTTAGGGTAGGGGAGGCTATGTCCCTAATCTTCTGGGGACCTTCTGGAGTAGATGATCTGAGGGGATCACCTTCAGATTCTTCTCGGGTGGACACAAATTATAGGGCTACAATTAATTAGGGTAGATTAAGGGGCTTTTCTGTATCTGATGGAGCCAACTGCCAGTGTTTCATCAAACTTACAGTGCATGAAGTGCTGTCAATGGTGTGGATGAGAAATCCAGCACATATGATTTCACTTCTGATATACTGTGGAGATGGTGGGACGGAGGGCAGAATGACTGACTTCGCTGCCACCATGTAGGTGTTACTGAAAGATAAGACACTTTCTAAGTTCTTGTGAGAAATGAAGAACAGTTGGTAAAACTGAATTCCTAGAGTTAATGCAATTATCTATACAGGTAGGAGCAAAGCTACCCAGATCTTCGAGGTGAGTGGCCTGCATCAGAGATATTCTCTATGGCTACATTCCAGATAGGAGATGGCAATAAGGGCCACAAGTATTTTCTGCCTAGGAATTACATCTACAGGCCAGGCACAGTGGCTCATGCATGTAATTCTTGAACTTCAGGAGGCCAAAGTGGGAGGATCACTTGAGGCCAGGAATTTGAGACCCTGAGCAAGAGTGAGACCCCATCTCTACAAAAAAATAGAAAATTTAGCCAAGAATGATAACATAAGCTACTGTTATAGTCCCAGCTACTTGGGAGGCTGAGGCAGGAGGGTCACTTGAGCCCAGGAGTTTGAGGTTGCTGTGAGCTACAGTGATGCTACTACACTACAGCCTGGGTGACAGAGTAAGACTCTGTCTCAAAAAAGAAAAAAAAAAGAATTACATATACAGTACTTTGTATAACTCCACAAAACTGGAGTTTAGCGTCCAAATTAAAGTTTTAATGTGCCCTAAAGAGTCTTAGTCTCCTCTCCTTTTTGATTAAAAAAAAAAACCAAAAAACAACCTTCAAACAGTAGAGAACCTCATAGAAAAATGAAGAGAATAGAATACTTTTAACTCCATTAAGAATATGGTCTGTCTAACAAGGGTACAAGTGAATTTTTCTAGAACTAGAGTATAAATGTTTTAACACAATAACTAAGTAAATGACACAAAGTCTATGTTAACCAGTTTGATGAAAATATTTCAAATTATATATGAAAACACTACACTGTACCCCATCTTTGCATTAATGTACACAGTTATCATTTAATAAAAAAAAAAGAATTCTATAGTAGCAAAATAGTGACATCCCCTATGTGGGTACAGGGAGCATAATATATTGCCCCCTATTAGAGTTGAAGATTTTAATAAAAAATAGAATGTTTGATTCAGAAAAAAAAAAAGAATACATTTAACTCCACAAAACTGGAGTTAGCCTCCAAATTAAAGTTTTAATGTGACCTAAAGAGTTTCAGTCTCTTCTCCTTTTGGATTAAAAAAAAAAATACCCATTGTTTAAAAAGAAAAAAAAAAAAAAAACAACCTTCAAACAGTGGAGAACCTCATAGAAGAATGAAGAGAATAGAAGAATACTTTGAACTCCATTTTCACTCCAATCCTGTTCACTACCCTAGAGGTGACTACTCTTCTTAACATTTTGATCTGTAGCCCTCTAAACCTTTTCATAAATGTATAGGAATAACATTTGTATAGGCAAATATACATGTATAGATTTTATGTAAGTAAGATCATTTTACAAATACTGGTCTATAATCGATTTTTTCACTTAGCAATAAATCTCTAGCAGTGTTTCTGTATCCACTGGCTCTATGGCTCCCTCAGCCTTTTTAATGAAGGCCCAGGACTTTGTACCATGTATGGATCTACCATAATTTGTAAGATGAAACTTCAGTTGGCATAATAAATCAGTGATTTTCAACTGGTGTGCCTCAGAATTTTTAAAAGATTATTTTCAAAAGAAATTCAAAGCACAGTAAGTATATATATATTTTTACTCTTTTTTATGATCAACATAATTTAAATGTGCCGCCTAAGTTTAACTATAGGTTCAGGTGTGCTGTGAGATCAAAAAAGGTTAAGAAACACTGTAATAAATGATACTACACTGAAATGTATTAATATTCACACATGTGTAGGACTATTTGGAACACCTCCCTTCAGTACCTAGATGCCATGCTCTGAGCATGTGGTGACAGGGAAAAGCTGAGTTTGGGCACTCCACTGGACAGCAGCTGTCAGCCAGCCGTGATGGATGGTTAGCACAGTCGAGCCCTTGTGCACTGTAAACCAGTTCCTGGTGCTTTGGCTTTCACTGCATTTTTACCGATAATGGAATGTTTTGAAGTCTTACTAACCCTAAGTTTCACACCTACATAGGAAAGTGAACAGCTTTAGGATTCTTGCATAGTGCTTTGTACACAGATGGTACCTAATGGATTATTATCAGACTTTTAAATAATAGCTAAAAATTCACCTAGGAACAATTCAAATAAACATTATTCAAGACCAGAAATACCTACAATGACTTCCTGATTTTCCACATCAACTTTTAGTTTCTATCCTGTACTGTAAAATATTGCTACGACACGGGCTGCACATACTCACCCATCTCTGTGAGGCTTTCTGCGTGATACGAGCACTACCAAGTCTTTGGGCTTGTCACCATTCACTATAGGACAGGTGATGTAATATATCCGATCATCTTCACCCACCCAGTCTATGACTTCACAGGACCTGTGTATACAGAAGAATGGCAAAAGTGCTCAAAGTCTACCTTTGGAATGACTCTTTGATCAGAAGGAATAATTCTGTGGGCAATGGAGGGAGGATGTGGCCAAATGGAGGGAGGATGGTGACTCTAAATTCATTGCCCTTAATATGTAGTATTTCAGAAAGGTATTGAGCTGTTTGCCACAAGATCATTTTTCTCTAGGGTCAAGTGAGAACGTTTTAGAGTGGTAAATTATATGAGCAGTCAAAGAAGGACTAATCAGGTAAAGAAATGTGGTACACGTATGTTGGAAAGAGCACTATGTTTGGAGTAAAGAACTTTCTTTTGCCTCTTAGGTTGTGATTTGCTAGCTATGTTACACTAAGCAAATCATTTCATTTTTTCATCTGTAAAATACAGATAATAATGTCTATGGGGTTATTGTGAGGATTCAAGTAAATAAGTGGGCAAGGGACTTGAACAGAAATTTCTCTGAAGAAGACAGGTGAATGGGCAACAAACACATGAAAAAATGCTCATCATCCCTAATCATCAGACAAATGCAAATCAAAACCACTCTGAGATATCACCTAACTCCAGTGAGATTAGCCCACATCACAAAATCCTGAATCTGCAGATGCTGGTGTGGATGTGGAGAGAAGGGAACATTTTTGCACTGCTGGTATGATTGCAAACTGATACATCCTCTCTCTAAAGAAGTATGGAGAATTCTCAAAGAACCAAAAGTTGGGGTCCCATTTGATCCTGCAATCCCATTACTAGGTATCTACCCAGAAGAAAAAAAATCATTTTACCACAAGGACATTTGCACTAGAATGTTTATTGCAGCTCAATTCACAATTGCCAAGATGTAGAAGCAACCCAAGTGTGCCTCAGCCCATGAATGGATTAACAAACTGTGGTATATATGTGGTATATATGCCATGGAATATATTCTATTTATCCATAAGAAACAAAGGAGACTTTATGTCCTTTGTGCTTACCTGGATTGAGTTGAAACACAGTCTTCTTAGTAAAGTATCTTAATATCTTAAGAATGGAAAAAAAGTATCCAATGCCCTCAATACTAATATGAAATTAAAATATAAACAACTACACACCCACAAGAAAGAAAACACAAATACAGTGTAATGAGGGGGAGGAGAGATGAGAGAGAGAGAGAAAGAGAAAGAGAGAGAGGTGAGGAAGGAGGATGACTGGTGGGGTCTCATGATGTGAGAGAGGTGCCCGATGTGAGGGTGTTCTGCACAACCCTCCGGGTGAAGGGCTCAACTACAACTTGAACTTTATCTTAGAAATGAAAACAATGTAACCTAACCATTTGTACCCTCATATCAATGTGGAATAAAAAAAAAAAAATGAAAACACCTGGTGTAGTACTTGACTCATAGTAGATGTACAAGAAAAGTTAGTTGAACTAGAATTAACTCATTCATTCCCTCACTCATTCCAGTTCAATTGGGCTGGAATGCCAAGTGACACAGAGAATAGTGGGAGAAATATTTTTAAAGAATTAACACCAAAGTTTAGGCATTGTTTAGGCGTTGTGCTTATAGAGTATCTACAAAATCAATGCAAGAAAATTAAAACTCCCTCTTCTCTCAGAATGTTTTATTATGATAGCATTAACTGCGATGTAGTATTCTGGCATCTATGCAAATGTAACCCATAACCCCAGAGATGTTTCACTTCAGTGGTTTTAGATAACCTATTGCATGGCATTAATCACAGTGAGTTTTAGAAATTCTGAAGATGAACCTCTGTCTTGTCAAGATTGGGAAGTAAACAGTAACTCTTAATATAACAGGAAGCCCATTCACCAACCTCTCCCCCTCAACAGGGGTGAGGCCCTGAGGGTGCTGTGGCCAAGTGGCTGGACCTCAGCACAGTCGGCCAGGGTCCATAGCTCTGTACTGTGTTATAGGAAAGCATGGGGTGTGGAGGAGATTGAATTCGGGGTGCAGTTAAGAGTGAGAGTCGTAGGCTGATAGGAGCTGAGATGTGATGGGACAGGGAGAGCAGGAAGGAGTGCCTTTCACCTGAGCTTCTCAGCAGAGAGTGCCGGTTCACAGAAAAAGAAGGAAATACGCAGAGTGGGAAGGTAATTCAGTAGTCACTTCTTCAAGAGCAGCGAGGCAGTGTGTGGAAAGACCAGAGTTCCAATTTTGGGCGGTCACTTTGCTGTCTGTGCAATCTTGGCAAGTCTCAGAAACTCTCTCTTGCTAAATGGAAATCATATCAGCCTCGAAGTTATTGGTAGGATTACACTAGATGTGGGTAAAGTGTGTCAACTCAATCTTGACGATAAATCAGTGGGTGTAATCATTTTTGTTTTACTTCTCTCCGTATTGCCTGATGTCAGAGTCTGTGTAAAGCAAACTGTACAAAATACTCTTTAGTAATAAAACAACGGTCCGTATGTTGGGCAAGGGAGAGGGACTGCAATATGGAGGTCATCTTTTACGTGATGTCAGGGTTGACTAAGAAAACTTCTAAATTTGGTCTTACATGAAATGGGGGTCCCACAAAGGTCGCTTCGTGAAGTCAGACAAGAGATGATAAGCCACGTGGGCTGGGCGGGCCACGTGCTTTTCAACCCACACAGATACGACATCCTGTTCTTCCAGAGTATATATTTTTATCTAAAAGAAAATGACAAAAAATCAAATTACAAAAGAAAATGATGTTTTTACTTTAAAAAACACCTACATATATATGTAGACGTAGACTGATCGCACCAGCTAGGTCATCTTGTTACTTGGATAAAATGAAGCTAAATAATGGCCATTTTACACCGATACCTGGATGGCTGGAGATCTCACCAGGATGCTATATTCCTGTGTCCTCCAAACAGTATGTGACTTGAAGGTGGGTTATTTAATTATTATGCTATTTTTCTCATGAAAAATAAAAAAACATTAGCTTTTCTCTCTTTATCTTTTTTATGATGGTTCTCTGCCTCTACCCAAAACAATGGAAAATATCCCAGACTACTGGGCAGGCCATGGCCTCAGCCCCCTGAAGAGCCGGGGCACCTTCCCAGGGGGTCAGGTGTGTCTTCAAGTGCACCCAGGGAGTCCAGGGAACAAGCCAGCTACCCCTAGAAGCAACTCAGCCTCTCAACAGGGCCCCTGAGGCACCATATTTTTTCAGCACAAAGCATTCTTGTTTCTGAATCAGCTGGGTTCCTCCTCTCAGAGGCCAATTCCTGCGTTTGTGACCCATATTGCTCCTTAGGTAAGCAGAAGCCTGTCCTGGGGAGCCATGTGACATATGCCCAAACCAGCGATTCTCAACCTGTGGGTCACGACCCACAGGAACTGTATTAAAGGGCCACGGCATTAGGATGGTTGAAAATCACTGGTTAAACATTCATGCGTCCTCACTACTCGAGCTTTCCTTCTACTGTTTTTGACAACAAACAGAAATGTGTATTCAGTAAAAACACACTTCTAGCCGGCCCATTTGGTCCATCTCTCTCAAGATGCTTCATTCATTTAGCCATTCCCATAGCAACGAGCTGTGAGAAGACAAAGATGGGGTTAGGATTTCATTGCAGGAATCAAGTAGACAGAAAAATCAGGCTGCAAAGGAGAGATCTTTATTAAAACACAAATATCAATAAGAGAATGAAGAAATGGGAAATTAACTTAAAGCAGCTTAGAAAGTGACTATTTGCATTTGCCATTTGACCTTTCTAATTGAGTTGGGACCAAGCTGGTCTTTGAATTCAAAGAGCAAAGGAAGACATGACCTGAGCCTTGGGCTCTTGTGAAACACCAAGAAAACTAGTGTTGGGGCTCCAGTTGTTTGGTGAGACTCGCCCTGTACAGCATGGATGCCTACCCTTGCCCCCAGCCCTGGTGTAAATCTGAACAGATCATCAGATTATTAGTCACCTTATTGCTTGGTGGCCAGGTGGCTGTAGGCCAGGCTTCTAGGGCTGTACAATCTCAGAGGAGCTGAGGGCATGTGACCAGTGTAAGACCCACAGCCTTGGTCGTTTTCCAGCCTTGGGTGCAGCCATGTTCCTCCCTAGTGGAACAAGGTAGAGTGAGACGTAGATTGTGTCCTGGCCCCCAAATGTATAAGTCAGAATGCTAACTTCCCCGTATGGAAGTAGGGTCATGGCAAGTGTAATTAGTTAAGATGAGTTCACACTGCAGTAGGATGGGCCCATAATCCAAGATGACCGACATCCTTATAAGATGGGGAAATTAGCCAGGTATGGTGGATCACACCTGCGATCCCAGCACTCTGGGAGGCCGAGGTGGGAGGATTGCCTGAGCTCACAGGTTTGAAACCAGCCTGAGCCAGAGTGAAATTTCATTTCTAAAAATAGCTGGGTGTTGTGGCCGGCACCTGTAGTCCCAGCTACTCTGGAGGCTGAGGCAAGGAATTGCTTGAGCCCAAGAGTTGGAGGTTGCTGTGAGCTGTGACACAATGGCACTCTACCAAGGGCAACAAAGTGAGACTCTGCCTCAGAGAAAATTGGACATAGACCAAGCACACAGGGAGAATGTGGAGAGAGAGGAAAATGAAGCAGAGACCCAGTGATGCATCTACAAGCCAAGGAACGTCAAATACTGCTAGCAATACTGTTAGCAAACCACCAGGAGCAGAGGAGCAGGGGATGGGTCCTCCCTCACACCCCCTGAAGGCACCAATCCTGCTAGCATCTTGATCTCAAACTACCCACTTTCAGAGTTGTGCGACAATAGATTTTTAAGCCACCCAGTTTTCCAGAGAGGTGCTGCTGAGGCTACTGTCACATGCTGCTGCTGCTGCTGCATCTTGGAGCCAAAGCAAGCACCGCTTAGCTCTGCCCCTGGAGCTCACTGCACTTAGCCAATGGCAAGCACCATATTGAATGGGCGGTTGAAGTTCTGACGCTTCCCCCAAGGTGAGGGTAGCTGCCGGTCCCCACTGCCCTGCCGTCTAAATCAACAATATTGAGGCAAAGTGGACGAGGGGATGCAGCAGGTGGGTTTTATCCCCTCAGACCCCTACTAGGAAAGGCCAGCTTTTGCTTAGTGAAAAAATCCTCTGGGAACAATTCTCCAAGAAAAGGAGCTCCTCTTCATGCTCGGGAGAATAGAGGTAAAATTCCTTTGTAATTGATTTAAAGTTTTCTTTATCATTTGGTGGTTAGAGGATTTTATTCTATAAAATGAATCTTATTGTAAGGCTTAAAATCTGCTAGAGCTTGCTAACATTTTATTAGTAATTTTTAGATCTTTTAGGTAAGATTCCGATTGGATTTGGCTTTGGATGTCTTATACAAATAGTACAAGGGGAAATAACTACAAATTTTAGAATTTTTGTACCATCTGTTCACAAATATGTCATTGAGACTACATTGTGGGAAGAAGGTTGAAAGTAGTGTTTACAGCAGCCTAGGGGGAGCCTAATTTTTCTTGGAGGTACCTGGAGATCACCACAGAGGCTCAGGGGCTGGGATCTGGGCAGGGGGTGTTCTGGGCCCAGCTTCTCCCTCAGCTCTCACAAGAATAGTCCCTCTCTGCTCTGTTTCCTACACTGGGGTTCTGTCCTGCATGAAGGTTTTTAGGTGGTCTGTATCATTCTGACTTTAGATGGCATTTTCCCACCCTATCCTCACCTACTCCTTACATAAAAAGCTGTCAGGCCAATCTCCACTCATACTAATTTCCACCAGGAGGACTTGGCTCAAGCTACCCACGGCCTGGCAAACCCTCCTTCTCCTTCAGCAATCTACTCCTTACCACTGTCTTTAAGAAGCTAAGAATCATCCCCTCTCTGAAGTTTTCTGTAAATCACTTTGAATTGCCTTAAGAGCAATAGTTTAAGCCCTACAGTTGCTCATTTATTTATAAACTACCTGATAATTATTCTTTAGCTCTCCCATTTTATGTGTGAAATTTCCAATATATATCCTTTGCTCCTTGTATTACTACTGAAATTAGTTCTGTCTTTCTACTCGGAAACTGAAAGTGAGTTAAAGCCATATGCACTGTCCAATTTCACTACAAATTCAAAAAGTCTTAGACTTTTACTATCTAAGTTATAGCAAAAAAATTATCCATTTAAAAACCCTGAAACAATTATGATTCTTAATAGGTAGTTGTGTTATAAGAATTATTCAGCTAAAAGGTGACATAAAAAATAGAACCATAGTTTAAAATTAAAAATATATAAAAGTTGCAAAAATTCAGAGAGAGGAGGAAGATAGAAAAACAATTTTTATAAGATTTTTTAAATGTAACATTTATCATAAATATAATTTTAAAAAGAAGGGGTTCAAATTCAACAGGCACAGTAGCTCATGCATATAATCCCAGCACTTTAGAAGGCCGAGGTAGGTGGATTGTTTGAGCTTAGGAGTTCAAGACCAGCCGGAGCAAGAGCGAGAGCCTGTCTCTACTAAAAAAATAAAAAAACTAGCCAGGCATTATGGCGGCGACTGTAGTTCCAGCTACCTGGGGGCTGAGGCAGGAGAATCACTCACGCCTAAGAGTTTGAGGTTGCTGTGAGCTGTGACTCCATGGCACTCTACTGAGGCTGACAAGGTGAGACTTTCTCTCAAAATAAATAAACAAATAAATCAACAGTGATACCACAAGAGTTTCTTTAATTATACAATATCCACTAATAAGTATCAGTATAAAAATTAAGAATCCTTTATGGCTTCGTACAACATTAGCAAATTTATTAGTGTGGGTTTGTTTCTGCTCACACCCTCCCAAAGAACTGAACTTTTAATAGATTATACAACTTCACTAAATACAGTCTTTTGCTTCATTGCAGACATAAATTTGTATTTTCTACTGCTGCTCCTGACTGCTCTGATGTCAGCAGTGATGAAGGGAGCAGATTTTATATTAGTGAAAGAAAGCAACGTTTTGAAGCATCTTTTGTGAGAGAGAAAAAGAAACAAAGGCTTTGGTGCTGCTGACCCTGTGTTCCTGCATCACCGAGTCAAGCAGAGGCAGAAACCCGACTGGCTTCGGAGGGGTAAGGAAGACCCTAAGGATTCTGCAGTGAGGACAAGAAGTCATAAAAACAAAACCCACTAGGGGGGTAAAGTCAGAGTTGAATCAACAAAGTAGCAGCTGACTTCATTTAGAATTTAGGGCGAAATGACTAGATGACTTATCATCCAAACTGGAACACTAAACACTGTTTGATGGGGCTTCAGGGATAAGCCAGAGCTGTCCCAGGAGAATCAGGACATGTGGTCATCCCATTTTACAAGTGACTGCTTTACTGGTGATAGAAATCAGTGCATACTGAATCCTGAGCACAGGCAGAGAGCCAGCATTGCTGAATATTTCCCAAGCGCTCTGGTCTGGTTAGTGGTGAGCACATCAGCCTTCAGAGAGCTTATGTCTAGTTCAGCAATTTTCAACCCGTGTGCCATGAAAATTTTTAAAGATCATTAATTAAATTATCTTTGAAAGAAGTTCAAAACACAGTAAGTGTATTCTTTTTTATTAACTCTTTTTTTTAAATCAACATAATTTAAGTGCGCTGCAGAAATGTAACTATAGGTTCAAATGTGCCATGAGATAAAAAAGGTTGAAAAACACTGGTCTAGTTAGTGTGGACATGAGCTTCAGAGGGTCTCCCAATTAACCTCTGAAATTAGATAAAATTAAAATCCTAATGATATATGTTTATTTAAATCTGAAGACATGTAAACACGATAATAGGTGCTAAGGGAGCTACAAAGAAATCCAAACAAGGCTTTTTTCTAAAAAAGTTTATCATGTACTTACCAGTAAGATGATCACGTGTAAAAAGTGAAATTGCTTTGTAAGGATGAAATATCACCTCCAGGAAGCCATGGAGGAAATGCCATAAGATAGTGTGTGAATTAATGGGCAAGTTAATAGTGAATTAATAGTGAATTAATCGACAAGTTTATGTTAAAAAAGTTGTGACTGAGGGAGAAGCTCACTAAGTCAGGGGCAGCACGAGGGGCTTCCTGGAGAAAGAAGGGTTTGTCCTGGATCTTACAGACCAGATTGGATTTGAGTAGAGGGAGCAGTGGGGGTGGGATGTAAGAACCTAAGCTTAGGGTGTGGGGTGTATTTGAAGGACTCTAAATCAACCAGCATGAGGGACAGGGCTGCAAAGATGCTTGTCTCTTAGAAATAGCTTCCTCCAAAGATGTTTTGATCTTCCTGAAAATAACAGGGAATGCAGCAGAACCACCACCACCCCGGGACAACCTTCACTTGTGCTGAGCAACGGGCTGCCCAAATCCCTGGACGCCTCCTACCTTGCCCACAGCGCTGGTCACCTCCCAGCCTTTTTTGGCCGCCAGTTTTTTGAGCGCCTCCACATTGCCATTACTCAACGAAGCCTAAAACACACATAAAAGCTGTGAGGTCAGTGCATAGATATGGGATCAAATCTTTTCTGCTTAAAAAATGGGCACTGTTAGAGGAGGTCTACGTTGAATCAAAGTGATCGTGTTGAGCTTGGAATTAAAATGCAGACCACGTAATATTTTCATCTCAAACTCTCGATTTAGAATCTAGTCGAGGTAACCGTAGCTTAACAACTGAGTATCATTTTAAGTGGTGTCCTGATTGAAGACAGATTACCCTTCAGTATGACTTATAATCAATGTGTAATAAGTAAACTTGAATTTCTTTCCATTTTATGGTCAAAAACATTCATATGGCTAGCACTTTTGTTATTATTTTATAAAAATAGCAAGCTGGTGGGCATGGCATGCAGCATGAATCACAGTGAGACACCGGATCCTGGTCTGCTGTGCTGTGGGATCGTACTTGACAGTTTGGGAACTGCACATAGGAATCAGACAAGACAGGGAGGCCCTGCGTGGTAACCGGTAACTGAGAGCTTGGCTTTGTTTCATTTTGGAATGACTGGTTGATATAATTTCCCCTTTCATCTAACCTGTGTAGGCACAACCGGAATCAGTTAGGCAAAGGGGTTCCTGTTTTTGTAATGATGTGAGTTTTCTAACGAAGAGCCCCAAATCATTAACTGTCACCTGCTTGCTTTTATCCCAGTGTATGCACAGCGGAACCTCTTCTTTGTGAGAAATAACATATTTTCTGGAAAAAAATTAAAATATTAAATGACAACTCTTTCTCCTGCAGTTAGCACACAGAGAACATTCTAGAAAGCCCCTATACCTCCTGTCTCTTACCTGCCCAGGCGAATTCTCTTACGAGCAATAGCGCCCCGGTAGCGTCTAAAATCATCCTTTAATAAGAAACAGAGTAAAATCAATACATTTCTAACATAGTCCTGCTAGAATCCTAAAGTACCCTTCTCCTAAGTTAGTTGAAAGGGCTAACTGGGATGCCGTGTCTCTATGTGAATTTCCTCATCGAGTCAGAACCTCTGCGTTGAATCTGGAAAGGGCAGCTGCCTGGACAGAAGTGCAACCTTTACAGCTATTTTCTTCCTGTTATTAAGTGGCCATTACTATAATTGATGTCATCAAAATTGCACATAAATCTCAGTATGGAATTTTTAGAAAATGTGAATGTTGGCAATAAGGCAATTTCAGGAGAGGGAAAGACAGGTCTGATGAATGTGGCCCAGCGTTAAGAGCTGCAGGGAAGGAAACAAGAAAAGAGATTCAGCCATGCAGGTGAGTAGAGGTGGGGTCTTCAGCACCTCCGTCATTCTAACCAATGATCAGAGGGACTTGGAGCAAAAGTGAAAAAAGTCCATTTTATTCTGTGATGCAGAAAAGAAAGAAAACCAAGGAGAAATAGCCAAGGAGGTTGGTGGTGGTGGTGGGAGGAGATTCTGGGTAGAGCTCTGGCCCCATAGGTCTGATGATGGAAGCTCATTGATAACTGACCTTTGAAATGGGCTTGATTCTTTGAAATGTGATGGGTTCTTCTTTATCATCAACAGCATTATAAATGAGAAAAGCGCTATTGATGTGGCGGCCGTGACCCTCGGCCCATTCCCGACAGTTAAAGGCCTCCACGCGAACTCCAACTTCAACACTGCGAGGGACAATGCAGGGCAGTGGGCAAAGACAGCGTGGCCGTTAGCTTCCCTGCCCACCTCCAGCACCATCTCCTCCACGCCACGCGGGAATGAGGGCCCTGGGTTTTCTTCTTTGTCGTCAGCAAATCTGCACAACTCTTACAAAAAATCTATTTCAGGTCGATGGGTCACTTTGTGTAGACCACTTTACTTTTCCATTTTCAAATGGGAAAAAGGCCAGTTGGGCCTTTATTTAATTTATTTATTTTTTTTAGAGACAAGAGTTTCACTTTATCACCCTTGGTAGAGTGCTGTGGTGTCACTGTTCACAACAACCTCCAACTCCTCAGCTTAGGCGATTCTCTTATCTCAGCCTCCCAAGTAGCTGGGACTACAGGCGCCCACCACAACACCCCGCTATTTTTTTGGTGCAGTTCAGCCGGGGTGGGGTTTGAACCTGCCACCCTCCATATGGGGCTGGTGCCCTATTCACGGAGCCACAGGCGCTGCCCAGTTGGGCCTTTATATACATTCTTGAAAATATTTTAGCTATGGGGATGGGTGTTAAATTGTGCCAAAGCCGAGTTTTCTTCCTTAAAAAATAATAGTTCTATATTTAGAAAAAGTCAAACACAAATTAGATAGAAAACATACTATTTTTTTCTAACTACTATTTTTTACTATTTTTTTCTAAAAAGAAAACACAACTTTTTTTTTACATTTAAAAAGAAAACAATACTAAATTAAATCTTGTCATTGTGTTTCAAGAATAATAAAAGTATCTGGGAAGAGGTTTGGAGTTCAGGGTGGTTAATAACAGTTTCATTATGAGTTGGTTTATTATTTAGTCACTGGGACGCTTTGGAGAATGAAAAGTTAATAATTATGTCGGGCTGACAGGTACAGACTGGACCATCTTGGGCCAACTAGGATGAATTTGGGAACTGTTCACAGAAGTCAGACTGTTCTGAGACAAAAACCAGCCCATCATGATTTGTTTAGTGAGAGGAGGGCCCAAGCAGAGTAGCAATAAAATGTTTGTCTACAGATCTTGAAGAGTGACTGAAGTTTTTTAAAAAATTAGAAGCAATTTCATTATTTTAGAGTAATCAAGATTTACCTCCAGATTGAAATAAAAACAAAAAATTAAAAATGGACAGTGAAGGTTCGGTGCCTGTAGCACAGTGGTTAGGGTGCTGGCCACATACACTGAGGCTGGCAGGTTTGAACCTGGCCCAGGCCTGCTAAACAACAATGACAACTACAACAACAACAACAAAAATAGCTGGGTTCTGTGGAGGGTGCCTATAGTCCCAGCTACTTGGGAGGCTGAGGCAAGAGAATCGCTTAAGCCCAAGAGTTTGAGGTTGCTGTGAGCTGTAACACCAGGGCATTCTACCAAGGGTGACAGAGTGAGACTCTGTCTCAAAAAAACCCCCCAAACCCAAAACACAATGGACAGTGTAGTTGGTTTCTAGCAGCCTAAGAGCATGCTTTACCAGGTCTGAAACGTATTGTTAACAATGGCATTGAAGACAAGACGGTCTCCGACTGTAGAGGGTCCCCGGAACTTAAACATATCCACAGACTTCAGGAAGGGATGCACCCGACACAGGCGGCTAAGGAAACAGAGAAAAGGAGAGAAAAGAAAGTGATCATTTTCCAAAGTATTTTCACAAACTACTGATTCATTGAATGGGTCCGGCAGACCAGGCTCGACCTGTTACCTAAGTGAACATCTCTTATGACTTGAGTGAAGTAAATAAACTGGACTGTGTGCGTTGGGGGTGGTTCTTACACCACCTGCAAATATTCTGGGAATATTCTGAGGTCTTTACCAAGATCGTGGTGCTTCTGCTCTCAGGGCATCAGTGCCACTCCGGTCTTGTTCCCTAGGGGACACTCTCCAGAAAGCAAACCAATGCCTTTTGTTCTGATTTGAGAGTTATATTCCTCCTGACAGCTCATGACTATAGTCCCAGAAAGCTGTGATCCCAGGTTAGAGTCTCTGGCGCTGTTCACACCCATTCCCTAGCTTCACAGGTAACCTGCTCACCCACAGCATAGAAGACAAAATTACCCTCCACAGAAAAATGACCTGGATTGCTGAGCCAGGCCTGACAGGCTACAAGATATACATTTTACAATTTTTGCATGTATGGAATTCTGAAATATTTATAAATAATATTTAATTTCAGAAAGTTACTTCCACATTTCAGATTCCCACTGTCATCATTCAGTTACTCTGAAGCATTGTGCCCACACCAAGCGAACAGATTCCTTCACAGTTAATTACATCGTAAGCCTTCACAATAGGACAGGGTCCGAGGCTTTGTTGTCATGAAGAATGACAATCTTATTTTAAAAACAAGCTCTCTCATTTGGGCACAATTTATAGAAAGGATAACTACAGGTTTCTAATTTTAGATATGTTAATAATAAATTTCTTTTAATTTGGGGAAAATAAAACCTTAACGATTTTCAGTGGTTATGAAAACTGTCAGAAAGGCAGATCCTATTGAAACGCATTTTCAGAAGACACAGTGTTCCCTAACGCTGCTCAATTCCATTAAGAATAAAATGCCCTTTGGAAATTGAAGATCCTTTACAAGTATTCTTCCAAGTATTTCTCTCTTTTTCTTCTTATTTTTTTGTTAATTCTTTGGCTACCATGGCTTTTAACCAGTACCTTCAATGGTCAGACCTACTTGTAAAATTGTCTCTTAGGTTTGTAACTAGACGGGCTATCTTCAGCGTGAACACTGCCTTTTAGTTCTCTTCTGTGTTTCCTTCGTCATAAAGGATCATCACAAAGAGTTTCAGCGTCATAGAATCAATATTCATAATTTAGAATAAAGTCTTAGAACTGTCACTTCATTTTTATTGCTGAACTGAGAATTTAAACATTCACCTTCAAACAAAAGGAGAGATTAGCTCTAAGGTAAGGAAGTGAACAATACAGAGTTTCTCACTTTGATAAAAGCAGAGCTTTTCTCATCCTTTCCTTGACCAGCCCGAGAACTTAGCTCAGGGCCTTTCTATTTTCTCCTGACTCGTCCCCAAATCACATGCCGAAAGTAAAAACCAAGAACCTTGCAGAAATAGTCGCGACTGTCTCCATCCAAGCCATAATCTGGCCACCAAAGGTATTCCCGTGATGGTTTGCGTGAGGTGGGAGGACAAGTTCGATGCTCTGAACCGAGGTGCCCCTTGTGGAGACCGTTCCTTCCTCTTCCTCACAAATGGGATCTAAAAGGTGGACGTAAACATTAATGATGCTGGAGGCACCCGGGACCCGGGGCCATGGCGTTTCCTTCCCCGTAGCATACTCCACTCTGGGAGTTTTAGAAAAATGAAATTGTTCTCAAGAACTTAAACTGTGCAAGTTAGCAGATGGCGCCAAGGGCCTTCTATCCGAATGGAGGATATTTACGGTGACCTGGGTTAACATAACTGATCAGAAAGGTCATGTTCTGGGGCAGCGCCTGTGGCTCAGTGAGTAGGGATTGGCCCCATATACCGAGGGTGGACGGTTGAAACCCAGCCCCAGATAAACTGCAACAAAAAAATAGCTGGGTATTGTGGCGGGTGCCTGTGGTACCAGCTACTCGGGAGGCTGAGGCAAGAGAATCCCCTAAGCCCAGGAGCTGGAGGTGGTTGTGAGCTGTGATGGCACAGCACTCTACTGAGGGCAACAAAACGAGACTCTGTCTCTAAAAATGAATAAATAAAGATCATATTCCAACCTATCTAAGAAGCCCACTGGAAGTTTGATTAAAAGAATGATTACATTTAAACTTGAGTTGCCTGTGGTGAGGGAAGACAAGTCAGGGCAAAGAGAGCGGAGATTTGGGGAGTGATGTGTATGTAATTGTCTTGCTTGTGGTGATGGTTTTGCTGCAAACTTACATCAAAACTTAAAAAATCATATGCCTTAAGTATGGGCCATTAACCATTAGTCAATTATATCTCAATAAAGTTGTTAAAAGTAAAGGAATTTGAGCCATGAAGAAACACAGACACTGACAATCTGGACCACCATAAACTTCAGAAGGGGGAGGGGGCCTCTGGGGGAAACTGTCTCGTAACAAATGCGGCAGAAAAGGCAGACCCGTCGGACGTGGCACTTCTCCATGTCCCTCTGCTTCTTTTGAATCATATCTGCTTTACTTACTGACAAATTGGTTTTTACTCTCAACAATGGAGAAATCATTTACTCTGGCTGCAAAGCAGTAGAATATGTTCAATTATGCTCCCTGCATCTCCAAGCAAACCACCAGCAAGCCTTTAATCTCAGAGGCTGGCTGAGTTTGCAGAGTGAGAGCAAAGATATGCCCAGTTAGTATTCTCGGCACCGTCACATGGACGTGACCAAAAAGCATGGTCACAGGAACCCTTAACTCCATTTCCTAAGGGAATTTTTAGATTTACTACGATAATTACTCGACGCTCTTTTTCTTTTCTTTTTTTTTTACCTTTGTTCTATTGATCATTTCAGTGCCCAGCTTAAAGCACATTAGTAACTTCCCATTGTTCTAGAATTAACCCTGAATTCTTGCCTGTGGCCTAGAAGCCCTTTTGCCTAAGCTTCCTTGTCCAGTCCCAGACCCCTGCTTCCCCAGAATATTTTCTCTCCCTCTCTCTCTCCCTTTGCTCCAGCCCAACAGTGGTCTTTTTTTTAGCTCTTCTGATGAAGTGTTGTTGTCAATGTCACGGTCATTTGCCATGTCCTGCTGTCTGTAGCTATTTAATTCAGGTGCTCAATAAATACTTGTTACATGACTGACTGAATGACCTTAACCTTGCTGATTTACTTTACATTCACTGTCTTTACTCTCAATAGGTTGTTTTCAGGTAACAGGATGGTTGCACTGACACTTCTGTCTGCTCTTTGTGAAAGTTCCTGCTGTTCCCTGTTTTTGTTTAAACAGTATTATCAGACACTCAATTATTTCCAATTTACTGGTGTGAAATAGTATCTCAATGTTAGTTACGATTTGCATTTCCTGACTACTAATGAGGTCCAACTCTTTACACATGTACATCAGACATTCTTGTTGCCTCATAATGAAATGTCTCTTTGTGTCATTGGCTTCACACATTGCTTCTCTCCCACTCGAGGCGCTTGGATTTGACACGTTAGTCGTCTCCCTCCACTCTGAGTGTCCCCTGACCCCTCTCCCATGGCTCCCATCGCTTGGTCTATCTTGATGAATGCAAGGTCACTTTCAGATCAGTCTTTCACTTCACTATCTTATCTGCTGTTTAATTCATCCATTGAGTTTTAAATTTTGATTATTATATATTCTTTTTCTCTGGAAATTTTCTTTGTTTCTTTGTTAAATCTTCCAGGTTGTCTTTTTCTGACCCTGTATCTTCCTATTTCTTAAAACATATTCACATTCTTACTCCATATTCTTGCATAAATTTGATATCAGTCTCCTCATTCAGACTTTGTGGGCCTGGTATCACCTCTAGGTCTTAGTGCCTTCTTTATTTCTGTCTTTTACGATTTTTGTCTAGCAAGCAGCTCCTATTGCTTGGATCTTTGTAGAAATCCTTGAGAGCAGGGCTTAAAGTCATTTCTTCACATAGGATTTGCATTTCTGCCACAGATCACCTGAGGTAGTCCAACATGGTAGCGCTTTTTTTTGCAGTTTTTGGCCGGGCTGGGTTTGAACCCGCCACCTCCGGTATATGGAGCTAGTGCCCTACTCCTTTGAGCCATAGGCACTGCCCCCAGTAGCACATTATACTAATGTTCCCTTGATCTGTTTCAGCCCAAACAAGTCATGTGAATTCTGACACTAAATCTGCGCGAGGATGCACCTATGATTGAATTCTCAAAGCAAAAATGCTTTCCCCATTCCACTGAGGGCCAAGGCTGAGATAGAAAACATCCTTCCCACAGAGCTCTCTGAATGGCAGGTTTGTCTAATGACTCACAGAGAATTTCACCTTTCAGGAATTATAGCTTTATAAAGGTTCCCTGATCTAACCTTCCATCTAACATGGGCCCATGGCCTTGACCCCTGAGTTCATACAGGCTCATTAAACACAAACTATATCTTTGGGCACCTGCAGGGTCTTCTAGCTAGCTCTAGCACATTCTTAACCTGTTGAATTTGTGTTTTGCACCCATTTTTGGACTTCCGGGTTTTCTCTTGTTTTCTGCTTTCTGAGATGTGTTTGCAAAGGTATTTATAAATATTTATCCAACAATTTTAGGTTTTTCCAGACAGCAAATCTACCAAAATTGGATGCTTCCTAACAATCTCATCTTAACCCCTTTCAACCTCTCTCTTTTTAAAATTGATTCTATCAGAAGATATTTTATGAACATACCAAACTAGTATTGACTGAGATTTTTTTCGGGTTAATATTGTATACCCCAATAATATTTTTTTATTCCAAATAAATATCAACCATCTCTAAAATGTTTTTTAATATTAATTTTTTTTTTTTAAGACAGAGTGTCACTCTATCACCCTGGGTAGATCTCCACTGTGCCATAACTCACAGCAACCTCAAACTTCTGAGTTCAAGCAATCCTCTTGCCTCAGCCTCCTGAGTAGCTGGGGCTACAGGTGCCCACCACAACTCCTGGCTAAGTTTTCTATCTTCAGTAGAGCCAGGATTTTACTCTTGCTCAGACTGGTCTCTAGCTCTAACCCACTTGCTGTAGCCTCCAAGAGTGTTACTGCACTTGTCTAAAATATGTTATTATATGTAAAAAAAAAAATAGAGTGCATAACTGTTTGAATTTTGTGCTACCAGTATGTGCACAAGTATGTGCGTTTGTATGTGTGTGTAACAGTGGTTGTCTAAGGTAAGAGCTGGGATGATAGGAAGACTTACTTTTTAACTGTCCTTTTATGTCTGTTGAATTTTTCACCCTATGTGTATACTATTTATTTAAAAACAACTTTAAAAAAATTATAACATAAAAAATTACTAGAGGGCCTTATGACAGACATTTCAAAGACTCAAATATAAGGCCTTTCCTTCTTCTCTGCGGAATAGTTTCAAAGGAAGCCACTCCCTCCCTGTGGAGACATACACAGCACACACTGGGACGCAGAGAGGTGGGTGTGGTCCAGTTACACGTGCACAAACCTCACCTATGAAATGTGCACAGAGATAAGCTGAGCAGAGGCAACTTTGGTACAGCAGTCTGCTTGTTTGCAAGTAACTGCGAATCAAGGGGAAAACAGCATTTTCCCAGGTTCAGAGAGCAATTCAGTCCACAGCTTTGGTTTGTACTGAACAGAATAAACAGACCTGACCCTTTCTGTAGGCTTCCCGGGGTCAAGTTGAGTACTTTACACTTTGGATGTTCTTAAAGCATCATGTCATCATCCTGCTTAGACAACTTTACATTCATTCCACCCTTTTAGATGAGGAACTTGGACCTGAGTTGAGGACATGCTAGCCCTAGTTTTCTTTCTGCACATCCTAAGAGGGTGAAATGCTCTTCGGATCTCATTTTCCTACTGAAAAATTACAATTAAAATACTTCTAATTTTAAGTTTCTCCATTTTATGTTAACTTTCCAAACAATGGCCCAGTGTTACAAGAACATGCCTCAGAAATCTCCTGCTTTTACAAAGTCTAAGCTCATCTTTTTCTCTTCTTCTGAAAGCATGTGATCTGGACTCAACCTTCTCACTGTTCTAACAATATGCATTTCCATTATACAACACCTTGAAAAAGAGTCAGTCTTTTACTTTTGATATTATAACCAAAGTAAACCTCTGGTTTTCTAAAACAAGGTTTAACAACAGACATGATCAGGCTGTATTCTTTTAAAACACTTTGTCCAGTCAAAACAAACTCCATCAGATCTAAGGAGCAGCAGGTAAAAAAACCACACCCTCCACCGCAACTTTAAACATCAGAGTCTGGCTCTTACATTCAGTAAGAGCAATTACTTGTAAGTACTGTAAGTACTGTGGGCCTTTGGTGGTATGAAAGTTAGTAAAATTTCCAAAAAGAAGATCAAAGCAATGGAGTTAAGTTTAAAAGTTATTTTCTGCAAAGAAATGTAGAATAATCTGTTTTAGGGCAGATTAAGTGAAACCGATGTTAAAAGCAGACTTTTAAAAACTCTGTAATTCTAAATTGAACCAGATACATAAATCTGATCTGGCCAACTTCCTAACAAACCGAAACTAAAGCCCATTGTGACCATTTAACTAGAGGAAGGGCCTGTTATTAATTAATTTAGAAGGTCTCTAGTACTCAATGTACTATTCATGTTGTGAACACAAACTGTCTGGTGCTGATTTTGTTTATTAGTACAACTTGTCCAGCACCTGAAGAAGCCAATAGGGCCACTCAGGTTTACCTGGCACACCTGGCTCACGTCACCCTGGGTGGGGAGTGAAGGCAGCTTGAACCACCACCCTAATAACGCTCCCCAATAAACTAACCCTGGTGAGGGAGGTCAGAGGAGCAGAGATGCCATAAATTACTCCTAAGATAAATAAACAACGATTCTCAGGTGTTTGAAGTTCAAGTTTGACAACAAATTATCTCTTTCTTTTATAACCTGCCTGTCCTTCAAAAATAATTTTTTTCATCTCGATTAGCCCGGAACCATGACCAGGTTTCTCTTATCTTGTAAAACAATGCCCCTTGACCTCGAGGGTCTCCTCCAGCTACAGATTGTTTCTTTAGACCCTCACAACCAAGTTCCTTCAAAGTACAAACTTTAGAGGGTGCCCCCAAATCCTCCTGTGAAACTCTCAAAACTACAGTCACAGCAGCGCTTTCTGCATGCCTGAGACTTTCTATATTAACTCATTTAATCCTCACATAAACCTATTAAATAAGTACCTTTATTATTTCCATTTTACAAGTTTTAATTATTATTATTTATTTTTTTTACCTTGCTCAGCAAGCTGAGAAGAAGCTAAATCAGAGGTCTTGTTTACAGAAGCAAGTACTGGCCAATAACCACTGACGGCCAGAGTCGGCTGGGCCCAGCTCCTAGCAATGCAGCTTTAGGAAGGTGGTGGAGGGAAGTGGCTCTCCCTCCAGGGTGGGTGGCTGAGGGGTGAGGGGGCCGACAGAAAGGCCCCTGATTCCCATGAGGCTGGTCCAGAGACCAGAGAGGAGCGGGCCCCACCTCTGGTGGCTGGCGTGCAGGAAAACACCTTGAAGATTTCAGTTCCTGTGAAAAGCCAGAGCTCCTGTGGACACGTCCTGCTGGTGGACGGCCAATGCAACACCTCAGCAGAGGCTCTGAGACAGCCAGGCTGCTGTAAGAGCCGTGACAGCCACCCCACCCTCACTGTCTATGTGTCCTGTAAAGGACAGCGCTCAGCTGTCAAAGGCTGGTGGCTCTATCTCCTTCACCATCCACCACACTCTAGGAAACCTGCTCCAGACAAGCCTAGTATGAAGGGCGTTTAAGTTGGCTGTGAACATGACACAGAGGTGATGGTCCGCTGTGTTCCACCCCCTGTATTCGTCTAAGGTTGGGATCATCCCAGCACCTCCATTTCCATCCCCACTTGCCACCCTCACACTTCCTCTACCCCAACTCTTGCCAACATCACCAACGCCCTCCCTACCTCGCCCAGTGGACAGTGTTTATTCCTTCCTTCCTGGAACTCAGGTGACCACTCATTTCTTCTTGTCCTACATGTCTCTCCCAGCTCTCCCTACACCTTTCTACGGTTGTCCCAGGTCCCCTGTGCAGATGCGTCTCTCTCTGACATGTGGGACGTGCCCATGTTCCGCAGGGCACTATTCTTGGCCCACGAGCCTTGTCTCCCATTGGGCTGCCTGCTGCCTGCGGCTGCAGGTACCGCCCTCATTTCAACTCCCGTCTGGAAGCTGTTGTCTCCCGGGTGGCATGCCCCCAGCCCTGGTCTTCAGATCCTTCGGATGTTTCCCACTTGCCAGACTCCATATGCCCCAAAGGAACCCTTCACCTTCCCCTCACCCAAACCGCCCCTCCTCTGGCCCTCAGATGCAGCATCTCAGTTCATGGCACCACCATTAACCAGCTGCTCAAACCAGAAACCCCAGAGTTATGGGTCATTCATTCATCAGTGACCCTGTCCTTTTTTTGCAGTTTTGGCCCGGGGCCGGGCTCAAATCTGCCAGCCCCTGTGTATGGGGCCTGCAACCTACTCCTTGAGCCACAGGCGCTGCCCAGTGACCCTGCCCTTTCAGTGTGACCTTTTCTACTTAAGTCTTTCCCTCTTCTACCTCCCCAGTGTCACTGCGGGGTTCAGGCGTTCCTCCCCTCCTGCCTGGTCTCCCTGCCTCCACCTGAGCAACTGTGTTAAGTATAAAACTAATCATGCCAAGGCTCGGCTCAAAACCCTCCCAGGGTTCCCACTGACAAGGGCAGGAAGGTCCAGCTTCGCAATCCAGCTTCTCAGCACGCCGGAGAGCCTCCAGGACCCAGGCCTGCCTGTTTCCACCCCGCCTCCTTCCATGTTGAGTTTTCTCCCCAGAAACACTCCCGGAGCAGCACACCAAGTGCTTTCCTGGCACTTGGCACCCTGCTCTGTGCCACCACCGTCCACACTGCTGGCCTCACCCTCCTCGCCTCCCAGCTTTCTTCCTCCCCAGGCCGGGCTTCTTTGAAGAGCCTGCTAAGAGCTTTTCCTCCGGCTCCTCACCCAGCACTTGGCGCTGGCATCTCTCTATATTATTTTGAAACTGATGTGTCTGTCACCAGCACTAAACTACAAGCTTCTCAAGATCAAGGCCCTGCATTTTTCATCCTAGACCTGGAATGGCAAGCAGCCTACACGTGGCAGGCACTGAATGCATTTTTATCCACTGGAGCTAACCAGTCGGTGTAGCTGCCCCTCCTGACTACCAGATCTTATCCACAACCACAGGACACTTCATCCAGCGCCCTGCTCAGGGCAGGGTCACCAGTTCCTAGTGGCAGCAGTTTGCTCCAGAGCAGTGATTTTCAAACAGTATGCCATGAAAACTTTTAAAGCTCATTAATTAAATTATTTTGGAAAGAAGTTCAAAGCATAGTAAGTATATTCTTTTTTTTAATCTATCTTTTGAGCAACCTAATTTAAGTGTGCCATGGAATTTTAAACCAAAGGTTTACGTGTACCATGAAATAGAAAAGGTTGAAAAACACTGCTCCCGAGAGTTCCTGGGTAGAAGGTGAAGAATAATCTGAAGACATGTGATTCGGTTGAGGGGTGATTCGGAGAGAGGGGAAGAAGTTCATGTCCTTATCTCTGGGTGCATAAGCACAGACTGCAGAAGAACTGGTTCTGACTTACGGATCAGACTTCTGCTTGTGTACTAGCTTATTTCTACTTTCTCCTTACAAACTGCACATAATTTCAATGAGGACAGAAGGCTTTGTAAAAAGACATAATTGTGCAGAAAGGAAGGCCAGTGAAACCAGGGTAATGACCGGATACACTTACTAATAACCATATTAAATGCTTGAGTTTTCCTAATATATCCTAAGACACTACTTGTTAAACACAGTAAGGATTTGGCTAATAGTGAGTATTTTATCTATTATTTCATTTCTTTCCTGGGATTTTAGGGGTGAAAAGACAGTGGGTGCACTTGGAGTTGATTGCTATTTTGGGCTTTATTTTTTAATTAATGGTTGTCTAGTCTGCCTTAGGGTCATTCCCGTGGTTCAGCTACTTCCATTAATTGAACGAAATGCATTTAAAATATATTTTGGTACTGAGACCAGCTTTACAAAAGGAGACTCTCTCTTCTCCACACAGTAATTTGATAATGAATCCTTCATTTCCTTAAAAATAACTTGGTGGTGGATATTGCCCTTTACAAGGTCAGCAATGAACAGCAACCTTATAAAACATCTTTTCCCCCTTACAGGTCTTCCCTGGGTTATCCCAGCACCTTGATGATACCATGGGGGGTGGAATTAAGCATCCACACTTCTGCGACCCTGGCTTCTGCCTTTTGTCTCTCCTTTGGTATATATTCTTTCTCCTTCTTCTCTTTCAACATTCTTTTTTTTTTTTTTTTTTGAGACAAAGTCTTACTGTCGCCCTAGGTAGAGTGCCATGGCAACATTATAGCTCACAGCAGCCTCAGTCTTTTGGGCTCAAGTGATTCTCTTGCCTCAGCCGCCTGAATAGTTGGGACTACAGGTACCTGCCATGACACACAGCTATTTTTCCCATTTTTAGTAGAGATGCGGTCTCACTCATGCTCAGGCTAGTCTTGAACTCCTGAGCTCCACTCACCTTGGCCTCCCAGAGTGCTAGGATTACAGGTGTTAGCCACCATGCCCAGCTCTTTGACATTCTTATTCTGACCTGTTCTTGACCTCCTCTCTCCTCCCCATTCTCCCCCTGACTTCCTTTGGAGCCAAGGGCACCCGTCCTGCCATCCTGGCAGTGGTGTGGGGGGACTGGGCTAGTCCCTCTCCCTCCCTCCCCCACTGTACCCAGTCTGTGTAAAAAAGGGTCACCTGGAAGCTGGACTGGGGTTGAGGGTGGGGTCAGGCTAAAAAGAAAGGCAGGGGAGGATGGGGGTGGGGGGGCTTTCTTTTTATAATGGATAAAATACTCACCATGGGCCAAATCCTTATTGTCCCTCCCTTTTTCTGACCCCAGGAGGCCTCAAACACCCAGGGAATCACTGCCAGGGAACTAAGAAAGGTCAGCTCCTAAAGCACTGTTGTTACTGCGGAAGGCACCAGAAAACAGGAGCAGAATCTTTGTCGCTTCCCTTCACTTCCTGGCTGAGAGTTGCAGTCTCCTGCTCCATTGAGATCACACACAGCCCGTATGTAATCATGGATGAGAACTGCCCCTTGCCAATGTATAGCATTGTCCTTAATCCTGCCGCCTCCATCAACCATGACTGGGCACACACCTACTAATGACCACGGCCTGGACTTCCCACCTCTTTGCCTGGAGATCTTCCAATGGAAAGAGGTCTTGGGTGTCAGCAGTTATATTCTCCATGGCCAGTCCCTCCTCCAACTACGGGACTGTTAAAAAGACACCCAGCATCACCGGGACTGAATTATAATAAGCAGTGAAATAACAGGGCTCTAAGAAGAGACTCCTTTGCTTGTCACAGACATATAACTACAGTTTCATTAAGTGGATTTACTGACCATCGAACTTGCTACTTTCCTTCATTAAATTGTTAAAAGTCTCCTCGTGCTGTAACCGAACTTTCCTTCTCTCAGAAGCCAGATTATGTTCCACGTGATCTTGTTCAGTCAGAAGTGTGACTGGTTTTAAATGAATCTGGAGAAAGAAAAACATTTATCTTTCATTGCCTTGTTAAATTATAAAAACACAACATGAATTTTGCAAAAAAAAAAAAAGATGTTACATGGTTTTCTAACTCAAGTAAACAGAGCATTTCTGAGTGCTTTTACTAAATATGTTCTGACTCATTTTTTTTTCTTTCTTTCATTTTTTTGTTGAGACAGAATCTCACTCCATTGCCCCAGGCCGGACTACGGTGGCATCATTGTATATAGCTTGCTGCAACCTCAAACTCCTGAGTTCAAGCAATCCTCCTGCCTCAGCCTCCCAAGTAACTGTAAGTACAGGAACTTGCTACTGCACCTGACTCATTTTTCTATTTTTGGTAAAGATGTGAGTCTCACTCTTGCTTCAGCTGGTCTTGAACTCCTGAGCTCAAGTGATCCTCCCTTCTCAACCTGGCAGAGTGCTAGGATTATAGGTGTAAGCTACCATGCCTGGGGCCTAATTTTTTTCTTAAAATATTTTTTAAACTAAAATAATAAAAATAGGTTTAAATATTTCTTCATATGAGAACATTTTCTTAAAATTTTTGCAGCAGAACTACAAAAAAAGAAGTTCTTCAAATTGGTGAATGAGGAGACAAACTTTGGCTCCACTGAATTCTTATCAAGAAATGTTTTCTATCTTTTGCAAAATTAAGATATCAAAGGGAAGGAATAAAGATGTCTTAGAGAAAGTTATCTTGTTTCAAGCGATAGTCCCAATTTGGAAATTACTTTACACGGTGAAAATATTGTCTAATAAGCAAACTGAAAGGATCAATATGTAAAAGTAAAGCTTCCACCACCCTCCAGAAACCCGGAAACACAATGCCATAGAACCAGGAGCTCGAGTTCCTCCATAAACGCTTATCTGCTGACCCTGCATGTGCGAGGAGGGGTCACAGCAAAGCTGGACTAGGGTATGTCCATGCTTATTTCCAGGACACCTAAAGTCTGCTGTTGACCTTTGGCCAAGATAAAGATGAAATTAGCTAATGATTTATAAGATGCTGCTTAAAGTCCCAAATTACTCCAGACTAGCTTGTCTAATTTGTTGAGGAATATGTAAATGGAAGGCTTGCACCAGTTTGAATCTATATGTGGTCTTGTTTTAGTTGGGTGACCAGTAGGGTATAAAATACCACTGGGTAAACTTGTGCCTTGGTTCTCCTGAAACCACAAAGTCCATCTCATGTAACTGAAGAACCCTCTGGCTATCCCCCAAAGCCCTGAGCCTCTCTGATGCTGGCCAGCTCCTGCTGTCTCCCATCTGCTTCAGCATCAGCTAAGGCCTCGCATGAGCCTGCCCCATGGAGCCCTGTGAGGCTTTTCAGTGATCTGGTCTGCGCAATTATCGAACTGAGTCTAGTTAATCATTGCCAAGTTTGTCCTGGAACAAACTCACTTTGAATAGAGATCTAGGTAGTCTTGTTGGGTCAGACCAGACCACTGATTTTCCATGGCTTTCTTCATGATGTGCCAGGAATATTGCCCACTGGAAAATAAGTTAGCCTGGAAAAGGTGCTTCACAATTAGGGCAGCACCGTAAGTATCTGACTTCACACTTTCAGAAACCAGTTCTTCAGTCTCCACAGAGACTGGACTGCAGAGAGATACTCGAATCTTATCCCAGACATCCCTAAAGTCAGAATGAGAAGTCTGAGGCAGGAGGGGAGAAGGGATGGCCCTCCCTGGGAAGGAATGAGATGGTGAGGTGCACACTTGCTATCACTTGCTCTCAGATATGGGAACTCTGTGCTCACCCTATATTCTCTCACTCTCAACAGTTTGGAGATCTGGGAAGATTCTAGGTAAAATGGAATGATTGGCAAGACCTATCTCAACGTCTTAGGTTTTTTAAATTAAATCATAGCTGTGTACATCAATGCAATCATGGGGTACAATGATGTGCTGGTTTTATATACAATTTGAAATATTTTCATCAAACTGGTTAACATAGCCTTCATGGCATGTTCTTAGTTATTTTGTTAAGACATGTATATACTACACTTGCTAAATTTCACATGTACCCTTGTAAGATACACCGTAGGTGTGGTCCCACTAATTACTCTCCCTCCATCCATCCTCTCACCTGCTTCCCTCCCTCTCCCATTTCCCCTTCTTCTTTCATATGAAAGCTATAAATTGGTTTCATAGTAGGGCTGAGTACATTGGATACTTTTTCTTCAATTCTTGAGATACTTTGCTAAGAAGAATATGTTCCAGCTCCATCCATGTAAACATGAAAGAGGTAAAGTCTCCATCTTTCTTTAAGGCTGTGTAATATTCCATGGTGTACATATACCAAAATTTATTAATCCATTCATGGGTCAATGGGCACTTGGGCTTCTTCCATGACTTAGCAATTATGAATTGGGCTGCAATAAACATTCTGGTACAAATATCTTTCTTATAATGTGATTTTTGGTCTTCTGGATATATACCTAGTAGAGGAATTTTCGGATCGAATGGCAGGACTATTTTTAGATCCCTAAGTGTTCTCCAACATCTTTTCAAAAGGAATGTATTAGTTTGTATTCCCACCAGCAGTGAAGAAGTGTTCCCTTTTCTCTACATCCAACATCTCTGGTTTTGGGATTTTGTGATGTGGGCTAATCTTACTGAATTAGATGATATCTCAAAGTAGTTTTGATTTGCATTTCTCTGATGATTAAGGATGATGAGCATTTTTTAATATGTCTTTAGGCCATACGCCTATCTTCTTCAGAGAAATTTCTCTTCAAGTCCCTTGCCCACTCTGAGATATGATCACTTGTTCTTTTCTTGCTAATACATTTGAGTTCTCTGTGGATTCTGGTTATTAAACTTTTGTCAGAGATATAACCTGCAAATATCTTCCCTCATCATGAGGGCTGTCTGCTTGCTTTACTTACTGTGTTCTTGGTTGTGCAGAAGCTTTTTAGTTTGATCAGATCCCAGTAGTGTATTTTTGGTGTTGCTTCAATTGCCCGGGGGGTCCTCCTCATAAAATTTTTGCCCAGGCCGATTTCTTTAAGTGCTTTCCCTGCACTTTCTTTTAGTATTTTTCTAGTTTCATGTCTTAAGTTTAAATCTTTAATTCAGTGAGAGTCTATCTTAGTTAGTGGTGAAAGGTGTGGGTCTAGTTTCAGTCTTCTACAGGTCACCCAGACAGTTCACCCAGCACCATTTGTTAAATAGGAAATCTTTTCCCCACTCAATGTTTTTAATTGGCTTGTCAAAGATCAAATAATGGTAGGTAGCTGGATTCATCTCTTGGTTCTCTATTCTGTTCCATATACATCTACCTCTCTGTTTTTGTGCCAGTACCATGCTGTTTTGATCACTATTGATTTATAGTATAGTCTGAGGTCTGGTAGCGTGATTCCTCCTACTTTGTTTTTATTTCTGAGTAATGTCTTGGCTATTTGAGGTTTTGTCTGATTCCTTATAAAAGTTTTACTGAACACGAGATCCCTGGCTGCTTTGTCAGAGCCAGATTCCAAGTTCCTATAGTAGTGGTTCTGATTTAGAAGGTCCAAGATATGGCTCAGAAAGCTGCGTTTTTATATAACATAATTAGCTGATAGGAGTTTCCATTTGGAAACAGAACCCATGGACAATATGAGTTTGCTTTGCAGGCCTTGCTGAGCTGAGAGTTGAAGAGGAGCCCTAGGGCACACCTGCTGCCCTTGTCCCATGGTGGGCTGACTCAGTCCCAGCATCTCCATGGCTGCTGGCCCCAGGGAGGAGTTGCCAGCAAGGGTGGCTCTGCTGCCACTTCTGTCAGGTAGAGGAGGAACATCCAGCTCTAAAGTTGGAGTCCATCTGAGGAAAACTTGCAGAGAAAAGTGTTCCTTGCTGATTCAAAGTGGAGCTAGACAAAGCCACTGTGCCCACCTTTGGAGTGGTCCTTGGAGCCAAAGATTTAAATTCTAAATTGAATTGTTACATTTAAAAAATGTTTAGACTAAATGAGGACCCAGACACTCTGACACTGAAAAAGGGTGTTTTTATCTGAGATGCCCTGAAGCTTTTTTTTAAACTTCAATAACTCAGCAATTTTGACATTGTCCTTCAGGTATAAAAAAAATGATTTGTCAACACCATGCAACTGCATGCTGAATTACTCTTGCTTTTTGAAAAAAAATTTGTTTTAACTCAATTTTGAGTTATATCATCAGAAAGGAAAAGAACCAAACCAGTAAGCGATATTTTCAAGAAGTTGATATGAACTTAAGATCATTTAAAACATAATATTTTGTTTTTTTTTAATCTTTCATAAACTGGCTACATTTTCTTTTCTCTAAGCTACTTAATCCTCTGATATCATCACAGAATGATTACTTTTACAATAAATATTGGTAAATAACACATCTTGGGAAAGTATATCTTATGGTAAGAAGAAATGTTCTCTTTTCCATAATAATTCGGATGCCATGGTTAATGTGTCCATGAATGACATGCTAGATACCTCTTCACATACAAAACTTACCTTTTCTTTTCCAACTGGTTTGGCTACAAATGTAGAAAAAGCCACACTAACAAGCTTCTCAATGCCAGTGGACACATCCTGTACCATGACCTTGATACTGATCTAAAATGAAGAGAAAAATAAATAAACATTTTGCCATGCAGATAACAGTTTAGATCGTAGGACCCAAATTCCGTTACATGTACATCACCATTATTTCCTTTTGTTCTTGTTTTTTTTTTTTTTTTTTTTGAGACAGAGTCTCACTATGTCACCCTCGATAGAGGGCTGTGGCGTCAAAGCTCACAGCAACCTCAAACTCTTGGGCTTAAGTGATTCTCTTGCCCCAGCTTCCCAAGTAGCTGGGATTACAGGCACCCACTACAATGCCTGGCTATTTATTTGTTGCAGTTGTCATTGTTGTTTAGCAGGCCTGGCCTGGGCTTGAACCCACCAGCTTTAGTGTATATGGCCAGAGCCCTACTTACTCAGTGAGCTATGGGCACCAAGCCTTTCCCTTTGTTCTGAAATGAAACCAATATTTTAATTTATTTTTAAGCAATATTACTCTTTCAATGATGTTCTAATGATAAAATTGGACAAATAACTTTGATTATAGAAAATATATATTTACCATGTAAAATTTATGTAATCTGACTATTTAGGGTAAATATTATCAGTAGTCTCATTATCCAGAGATAATAATTATTAAACTTTGGACAGATTTATTCCAGTTTTATATACATATGTATGTGAAATGTGTGTGTACATATATATCTATGTCTGCATAAAATTAGGTGTGCATAAAACTGTATTTATAGTTTTATATTCTAAATTTTAAAAATTGGCATTATATGATAAGTACTTTCCATTATCAGTAAATATACTTTTGATAGCAAGGTATTAATAACTGCCTTATATGTTGATAGCCCATCCAGAGAGATGTACCATAACTTTTTTTAGCCTTTAATCTCTGAATTTTATAACTATAGTAACATAGACAGAATTGAATTATGTTCTTGCAGTTTTTTTTCCATGATTAATTTTTCAGGGCTAGAAAGAAGGTAGCAGAGGCACTTTATAGTGATATTGTGAGTTAGATTTCCCCCTGTGTAGTGCCCTGAAGCTTGGACCTCAGGATTGTACTTTGCAGAAGTGTTGGTAAACTCAGGAACTTGTTTTTAGATTTTGCTAATAAACACTTTACCACACAACACAGATAAATAATACTATATATTTCTTTCTTTCTTCCCTCCCTTTTTATCTCCCTCTCTCTTTTCTCTCTTTCCCCTCCCTCTCTCCCTCCCTCCCTTCCTTCCTCCTTCCCTTCTTCCCTCCCTCCCTCCCTCCCTCCCTCCCTTCCTTCCTTCCTTCCTTCCTTCCTTCCTTCCTTCCTGTCTATTTCTTAAGAGACAGAGTCTTACTCTGTTGCCCAGGCTGGAGTGCAGTGGCATGATCATAGCTAACTGCATCCTCGAACTCCTGGGCTCAAGGAATCCTTCTGCCTCAACCTCCTGGGTAGCTGGGACTACAGGTATGTGCACCATACCTAGATAATTTCTTTTATTTTTTTGTAGAGATGGGGGTCTCATTATGTCTCCCAGGCTGGTCTTGAATTCCTAGACTCAAGCAAACCTTTGCCTTAGTTCCTAAAGCCTTGGAATTACAGGTTTGAGCCACTCGCCTGGCCAGAATACTATTTTCTTAAGATAATGGGCAGTGATTAGTTCTTAGTTCATCAATGATAATGAATAGCTATATTCATATGTTCACTATGTACATCATGTACTGAATAATCAATAATTCATGATTATTTTAAGTCACTTAACTCATACATGCAAATTAGTATTTTCCTGATAAATCCTAAAATTTCCATTTTAGATGGTAATTAGCCATATTTAAGTTATTTGTTCCCAACTACCAACAACACTCAGTTCCAAACAGTGTTCTAGTTTTGGAGAAATAGGTAAATGAAAAATAAAATAAAATATTTCATAGTAAAAACAAAGCAACATTTCTGGGGTATTAAAATAAATTCTGAACAGTGTCTTATACTGGAACAGTTAACTTAGTTAAGTTTGATGACAAAGTGTGTTGAAAACATATGCCAGGGGGATTTCATTGTTCCATGAGAGAGCAGGCAAACTGGAATTACATTATGTGAAAACAAGTAGAAAACTAGACAAACTATAGGAAACATCTATTTTCACACAGAGTAAAATAGGCAACACAGAACTGTGATCCTTAAAGAAAAGAAAACAAATTAGAGGAGCACTGTATTTCCCAGGTTCTCAGGCTGAAGATAACTCTCAGACTATGGTTACAGAGAGGAAACCAAAGAGATCAAGGCAGTTAAAACTTATGGGGCAGTTCCAGAGAAGGAGCAACAAAAAGAAAAATTTCCAGAAACATGCATATGAATTTTTGGTTGATAACAATTTGAGCATGCATAAGGTGAAACCTCAGAAGGCTAGACAGGAATAGCTTCTGAGGAACAAATAATTTCTGGGAAGCTGTAACATGGACATTTCCAAGGGCTTACAATAGCTAGGGATATTTTGAGTTCTCCCCAGATAGACTTCACTAAATATACAATACTTTAATAGAGACTATAGAAGATTCCAAATTATAAGAGGGGTTAAATTATCCCTAAAATAGACTCTTTTAAATCTTCCATGGAAGAACTCAAAAATCTTGCCAAGAAAAGCCTGACCTTCTTTTAAAGAACTACAAGTAAAGTTAGCACTAAAGAATGTAAAATTTACAATGTTCAGAATCCAATAAAAAATTACTAGACACAAGAAAATTATTAGGTACAAAGTTACATAAATAGAACAACAAATGATGGAAATGATGGGATTAACAAAAGGATATTAAAATGGCAATCAAACATTTGCACCATGAGCTCAAGGATGTAGGGCAGGGGTCAGCAAACATTTTCTTAAGGGGAAAAGTTAGATAGTGGATTGTTAAAGCTTTTTGGATACAAGGCCTTTGGTATAGCTACTCAACTCTGTGAATGTATTATAGTAGCAGCACAGACAAAACATAAATAAAAGGAATTGGTTATGTTCCAATAAAAATTTATTTTATTTTTATTTTTTTTTTTGAGACAGAGCCTCAAGCTGTCCCCCTGGGTAGAGTGCCGTGGCATTACAGCTCACAGCAACTTCCAACTCCTGGGCTCAAGCGAGTCTCCTGCCTCCGCCTCCCAAGTAGCTGGGATCACAGGCAACCGCCACAACGCCTGGCTATTTTTTGGTTGCAGCCATCATTGTTGTTTGGCGGGTCCGGGCTGGGGATTCGAACCTGCCACCTTAGGTGTACGTGGCTGGCGCCTTAGCCGCTTGAGCTATAGGCGCCGAGCCCAATAAAAATTTATTTATAAAAACAGGTAGCTGTTCCACAGGCCATAATTTGCTAATGCCTGAATATTATATAAAGAAATGAGGAAAGAAATGGAAAATATAAAAAATACACAAATGGGACTTTCTGAGATGAAAAATATAATATGTGAAGTAAAAAAAAATATACTAGATACCAGACAAAATTAAGATCAGGTTAGATATTGCAGAAAGAAATCAATGATATTGATGACAACAAAAGAAGCTATACAAAATGAATCATGGAGACGAAAGAAGTATGGGAAGAATGCCCACATAAAACTAGCTAAATGAAATGTGCTCTTTTAATTTCAGAAACTGAGTGAAAAGACTCGTAAGTATTGTACATTTTGTAGAAGCCTAGCTGCCTGGGAAAGCATGGCAGGGCCTGTAGGCAAGGTGATAAAACCTCCTGCATGGGACTCTGACTATGCAGTCAGTCAGCCTGCCAGATAAGGGTTGATGTGGCCCATCTGTGCAGGAGACATGGCTCAAAAGTTGATGTGAGGGAAAAACTCCATCATTAAAGCAGGTGGCTTCCAAACCACAAGGAAACAGAGTCATTGAGCCTGTTTTTTGGAAACTTAATTGAGTATATGGAAGAAAAAAGGTTTACTTTACTATTTATCCTGCCTGACCTTTGATTTTGACAATGGAAGTCAGATAATGCAGGGTTGCTTTAGGTCTTTAGAGGAATAGCTTGAGGCTAGTTTTTTTTTTTTTTTAAATGATAGCTGTATACATTAATGCAAACATGGGGTACAGTGTAGTGTTTTCATATACATTTTGAAATACTTTCATCAAGCTGGTTCACATAAATTTCATGTCATTTGCATAGTCATTGTGTCAAAACATTTACATTCTAGTTCTAGAAAAGTTCATTTGTACCCTTGTTAGACAGAAATATAGGTGATCTTTCCAGTCACCCTCCCACCACCCAGCCACCCTTCTCCCCTCCCCTTTCTTACCCCCTCCCCATATTCATGGGCTAGATTTAAGTTGTTTCTTTCATTTGAGAAGTCTATAATAGTTTCATAGAAGGGCTGTGTACATTGGATACTTTTTCTTCCATTCCTGTGCTACTTTGCTAAGAAGAACATTTTCCAGTTTCATCCATGTAAACATGAAGGAGGTAAAGTCTTCGTTTTTCTGTAGGGCTGCATAGTATTCCATGGTGTACATATACCA